AAATAAATAAATAAATAAATACCTATGGCCGGGCCAGATGTAATAGTTGAAACTTTGAAAATAGATGCTGGACATGAACAGAGGATGTATCTAGTAGGAGGGTTTTAAACCAAAAGTGGAGTACAACCCAACGAGTAATTAAAGTGCGTCTCAAGATATTTTGCAGGGAATTGTTTCCTTTATTCAAGGAAGGCACACCGGAACAGCCACGTTTTCAGGCTCCTCCTAAAGACTGCCAATGTGGGGACTTGTCTGATATCCTTGGGGAGTGAGTTCCAGAGATCATCAGAAAACACATATTTCCGATGGTGTTAGGAACCCCTTTGGTCAACACTCAGGAAGTTGGGGACTCAAAGTTCAAAGCATTTGGAAGACCTAAGTCTGGGAAGCACTGCTAAGTTTAATCAACTAATCAATCATAGTGTATTTTTCTCCTCACTTCTTTACCTCTTTGCTTTGAATTTCCACCTCAAAGTTTTCTTATCCAAATGTCACAAAGGATTTTATTTAGTTTTGTTATTGCTTTGGACTTTCTTAAATTGCTGAAATCCCAAGTTGAACTTTTGAAAGCTCTTCTTGAAGAACAGCAAATAGCACGAGCAACGTAGGAGTGCAATACTGAACTTCCGCAATGCACATTCCTTTCTGAAGATACACATTGCTCCCCCCCCACTTTTCTTGGGGGAAAAAAGAGAAAGAAAATGGGAAGGAGGGGAAACAGAAGCATCCGTTGCTAGACATCTAAGGAGATCTTCCATCCTGTATTTGGCATTTCAGCTGTTTGATTTTGAAAGAACCAAGCTGTATAACCTCTCGAAAGCCAACTCTTTGTAGCTATACCTGACCTTCTCTTTCCTCTTTCATCCTTTTATTCCCTTCCATTCAGTCTTGGCAATGACGCACAGGCGGAACAATGCAACCCAAAGAGTTGAGTAGCCTGGAACGGGAGCTTTCAAATCCCCCTCAGAAACGGAAAGATCAGAAGCATGAGGCTGCAGACAAAGACAAGCATGAGCAACCTGGCACCTGCTGGCCTCCTTCATGCTGAAAAATGGCAAAATCCATCACCAGCCATGAGCGTTGATACTTTGGTTGACGTTAGCAGAGCTGTTGCATGTCATGAGATTTGACCATCTATTGATCTTGGTATCAATGGGACGTAGTGGAACAAAACCTCAGCAGACACGAAGGCCTACTGCAAAGAAAACCAAAGTGCTGTTCCAGCAGTCACCAGCCATCCCCTCCCCAATGCCAGAGATACAGCTTAATGGCGTAACATTAGAAAATGTTGACCATTTCCGCTACCTTGGCAGCCACCTCTCCACCAAAGTCAACATCGACACCGAAATACAACACCGCCTGAGCTCTGTGAGTGTAGCATTTTCCCGAATGAAGCAGAGAGTGTTTGAGGACCGGGACATCCGTAGGGATACCAAGGTGCTTGTCTATAAAGCTATTGTCCTCCCAACCCTGCTGCGAAACGTGGACTGTCTACAGACGTCACATGCAACTCCTGGAACGATTCCATCAGCGCTGCCTCCAGAAAATCCTGCAAATATCTTGGGAAGACAAGCGGACAAACGTCAGCGTGCTGGAAGAAGCAAAGACCACCAGCATTGAAGCGATAGCCCTCTGCCATCAACTCCGCTGGGCCGGCCACGTTGTCCGGATGCCTGACCACCGCCTCCCAAAGCAGTTGCTCTACTCTGAACTCAAGAACGGAAAACGGAATGTTGGTGGACAGGAAAAGAGATTTAAAGATGGGCTCAAAGCCAACCTTAAAACTCTGGCATAGACACTGAGAACTGGGAAGCCCTGGCCCTTGAGCGCTCCAGCTGGAGGTCAGCTGTGACCAGCAGTGCTGCAGAATTCGAGGAGGCACGAGTGGAAGGTGAAAGAGAGAAATGTGCCAGGAGGAAGACGCGTCAAGCCAACCCCGACCGGGACCGCCTTCCACCTGGAAACCAATGCCTTCACTGTGGGAGAAGATGTGGATCAAGAATAGGGCTCCACAGCCACCTACGAACCCACAAGGAAACCTAGTCATCAAGGAAGACCATCTTACTCGTCCAACGAGGGATCGCCTAAGTAAGTAAGTAAAAAAGTACTGCAGATAGAAATGGTTGCTCATTGTTTGGAAATACACCATTGGAGTAGCCTCAGTGGAAAATGGGTAAGAGAATAATGCATCCATTTCTCACATGAATCCAGAGGGTCTAATGTAAGTTGGGATGGGATTGTATTAGATTGGGTTAAACTCCCCCTGAAGACAAGTTTGCAGCTTGGGAGCTTTCTTGGATTCATCATTGTGATGATGCAATTGTGTGCTGTCATGCGCTGGGCCTATAGCAGTTGGCTTTTGAACAGGATGTGCTCTTTGTGCCCAGCGGGAAGCCGGGGTGCCTCGAGTGAGAGGCCCTAAGGATTTTCCTATACAGAGTCTTTAGAAGCTTGAAAGGTTTAACAAAGTCCTTTATTATTGCTTAAGTCTTCAACAAACAATCAAATACTTCTTAATATATTGTTGAAGGCTTTCATGGCCATAATCACTGGGTTGTTGTAGGTTTTATCAGGTTATATGGCCATGTTCTAGAGGCATTCTCTCCTGATGTTTTGCCTGCATCTATGGCAAGCATCCTCAGAGGTAGTGAGGTCTGTTGGAACTAGGAAAAATGGGTTTGTATATATCTGTGGAATGACCAGGGTGAGACAAAGGACTCTTGTCTGCTGGAGCTAGGTGTGAATGTTTCAACTGACCACCTTGATTAGCATTTGATGGCCTGGCAGTGCCTGGAGCAATCTTTTGTTGAGAGGTGATTAGATGCCCTTGTTTGTTTCCTCTCTGTTGTTGTGCTGTTGTAATTTTAGAGTTTTTTAATACTGGTAGCCAGATTTTGTTCATTTTCATGGTTTCCTCCTTTCTGTTGAAATTGTCCACATGCTTGTGGATTTCAATGGCTTCTCTGTGTAGTCTGACACGGTGGTCGTGAGAGTGGTCCAGCATTTCCGTGTTCTCAAATAATATGTTGTGTCCAGGTTGGTTCATCAGGTGCTCTGCTATGGCTGACCTTTCTGTTTGGATTAGTCTTCAGTGCCATTCATGTTCCTTGATTCGTGTTTGTGCGCTGCGTTTAGTGGTCCCTATGTAGACTTGTCCACAGCTGCATGGTATACGGTAGACTCCAGGCCGTGGACAAGTCTACATATTGCCATCCACAAGCACATGGACAATTTCAATAGAAAGGAGGAAACCATGAAAATGAACAAAATCTGGCTACCAGTATTTAAAAAACCTCTAAAATTAGAACAGCACAACAACAGAAACAAACAAGGACATCTAATCACTAGGGCTGGGCAACCACGGAAAAATTTGTTTCTAAAATCGATTCGTTTTTTTGCGTTTCGATTTTTAAAAGATTCCGAAATTTTTCTTTTAAAAAGTTTGATATTTACGAAATTTAAATTACAAAACAATACGAAACAATTACGAAACAATAACGAATCGATTCGTTAATGGCGGACGCGACCGCGCAATACGCTAAAAAACCTCCAAATGGGACAGGGGGAACTTCTGAAGCTTCCCTCTCCCTCTGTTGTTGACTGTTGGTGTGATATTTATAATTTTTTTCACTGATTAAACAAACAACAACTATAAAACTTGCCCCAGACATGCGGAAATAATAACGAAATGATTTCAAAACGAATACGAAACGAATACAAAACGAATTCGAAACAATTACGAAACGAATTAAAAAATTCGTTTCGTTTTTTAGTTGCTCCTGAATGGTTCGTTATCGCTTCGTTATAAAAAAAATAACGAATTTTTAACGAATTACGAAATTACGAAACGAAACCGCCCAGCCCTACTAACTGGAACTAAGAATATATCTGCAAGAGAAAATGAAATTGAATAACAGCCAATGGAGCTCCTTAAACAGGAGGGTTGACTGCTCCCTGTAAGGAGCTCCAGTTAACAACCTGGCCGCCGCTCATTGAACCAGTTGGAATTTCCAGGCCATTTTCAAGGGTAGACCCACGTAGAGTGCATTACAGTAGTCCAATCTGGAGGTGACTAAGGCATGGACCACCCTGGCCAGATCCACCTTCATGAGGTACGGTTTATTATTCTTCTCTTTCCTCTGAAACAGCTGGTTGAAGCACCAACTACTAATACACCAAGGCCTATCATTAGCTTCTCACCAAGGACTTTTGTTTCCAGGCTCCATCACCGATGGTTGGACTCACCTTGCTGTTTCATTTTAGCAGGAGGCTTCTTTGATAACTGTAGTTTCCTGGAGGCAGGAGGCATTCTGCAAACAGATTCTTCACCTATAATATCTGTCTCCCTCTTGCAAACAATCTCTCTTTCTCTCTGCCTCATGCAAAGGCATCACCTTCCGATCCATCCTCAAAGATTATCCAATGGCCTGATGTTCTTCCTGAGGCCCTTTTCCCTGTCCTTCAACATCACAATAAACAATAATGAGACCCCCTCCCCTCAAAAAACCCCTCAGGTACAAGAGAAAAGCACGGCAACCCTGGAAGCCAGCAATTTAATAGGAGTGCCAGGGCTGGGTTTCTTGTCTCGGTGATGGAAATTGAGCTATTGCATTTGACAGGCATCAGTTTGCATAAAAGGAAGACCAGCTTCCGAAGCAGGGACGCTTCGGGGAGACTCTGCGGCAAGAGACAGGCTCACAAAGCAAATGACCACGTACAAACAACGTCCGCTTGTTTGGTTTCCCTTGCAGGAAGATGCCCTTCTGTGGAAAGGTTCCAACATTCAGGGCTCTTTGGCTTTGAGGCTAAAATGTGAACAAAGACAAAGCCATTAGAAGTGACAGAGGTGGAGAACCGTCTCTTGTTTGACCAACTCAAACTTCTGGATAGGAATATAGAAAATATTTATTTATTTAAAACTTTTGCATCCCAATCTTCTCAACCTCCACAGAGGGACTCAGACCGGCTGACAGCAAGGATTCAGTGCCACATTACAGTCTAAAACATCATACAACAACAATAGATTAAAATACATCTATATATATAAATCTGTTAAGGGCGTTCAACGGGACAGCGAAACGTGAAAACCCCTGGCCCAAAACACACCAAACTTGGTATGCACATACCTCAACCCACAAGGTATGCAGAAAGCGATTCAAAATAGTAAACAACATTTCAACAAACTCACAATTTCGAAAACAAAGGGAGCATGCGCAGAAGCGCCCCGGCGCGAGTCCTCTGCTGCGCGCACATTGCCGGACAATGCTCCCTCGCCGCAAACCACATCCCTTCGCTGCCCCACCCCTACCCACCCTGACTCAATTCTTTCCCTCCTCCACCTCCTCCCTGCTGCGACCACCCTCCATGGAAGCCACGCCCCCTCCCTTCGCCGCCCTGCCCTTTCCCGCCCTGACTCAATCCTTCCCTCCTCCCACGCCCCCTCCGGGCTACTTCATGCCACCTCCAAACCCCACCCCACCCCTTCCCGCCCTGACTCAATCCTTCCCTCCTCCCACGCCCCCTCCGGGAAGTCACGCCCCCTTCCTTCGCCCCCCCACCCCTTCCCGCACTTCCGCTCCCTCGCCTGTCAGTCTTGCTCCCAGCACTTCCGGCGGAACCGCCATAACAACCGAGGCCTCGCCGAGCGACGCGGTGGTTGCAGCCTCCTAGGCGGCGGGCCCAATCAAGGAAGAGGAAAAACATCGAAGGAAGAAAGGAAACAGAGAAGGAAATGGAAGCAAAGAGCGAAGGAAAGAAGGAAAGAGGTAGAGAAGGAAGAAAAGAGAGAAAGAGGAAAAGAAGAGGGATGGAAAGAAATGGGTAGAGAAAGAAGGAAGGAGATAAGGAAAGAAAAGGAAGGAAAGAGGAGCGAAGGAAGAAGAGAAAGAAAGAGAAAGAGGGGGGAAGGAAGGACAGACAAAAGGAAGAATGGAAACAAAAACCAAAGGAAGGAAGGAAGGAAAGAGGCAGAGAAGGAAGAAAGAGAAAGGGAAGGAAAAGAAAAAAGGAAGAAGGAAAGAGGAAGAGAAGGAAGGAAGGAGAGAAGGAAAGAAAAGGAAGGAAAGAGGAGCAAAGGAAGAAGAGAAAGAAAGAGAAAGAGGGGGGAAGGAAGGAAAGACAAAAGGAAGAATGGAAACAAAAACCACAGGAAGGAAGGAAGGAAGGAAAGAAGCAGAGAAAGGGAAGGAAAAGGAAAAGACGAAGGAAAGAGGAAGAGAAGGAGGGAAGGAGAGAAGGAAAGAAGAAAAGGGAATGAGGGAAAGAAGGAGAGAAAGAGGGAGGTAAGGTGGGCCACAGCAACGCGTGACAGGGAAAGCTAGTATAAAATAAAATACATATCAGTCAGTTCACCAAGATAAAATCATGTCCAACTCAGTCTGCATATGTCAACAACTTTAGTCTATTGCGGGTCTCAGCCGTTATTCTGCGAATGCTTTGTTCCATAGCCATTATTTTGTTGCGGAATATATGTTACCCGAGATCATTAGAGTGCTTTTGGAGAAGGAAGAAGATAGAGAGACAACTGGTCCGATTTCCAAGGCTTTATTGCTATCTTACAAGATAGAGTGAACAGATCAAATGACTGTCACCTTGGAGGTCTGAATCGCTTCAGTATTTATAGCATAATATCAACCTTTCCACACATGCGCAGAAAGAGTCTGACATTTACACAATACAATCATTAACAGGTGTTTCCATATATAGTTTCCAAAAACATCTTTATCAGGTCTTGGCAGCCACGTTGTGAACCCAAACATCTGCTCAATTATGTAACTTATCCCAACCTTCACCCGTTACCCTAAGATGATACTTATAAGTGTAATGCCTTAAATCTCTAATTGACTTATAACTTTTATATGCTTATAACATAAGATTTGATCAAGGCAATCTCCTCTAGTCAATTCAGCCTTAATAACTTCATTATAACTTATTTCTTTATATGAATAATCATGAAGGAAAACACTAGGATGAAGCTCTTCTAAAATTGCCTGCTATTTACATTAAGTAGTCAGAGGATGGCGCTCTCTCACCATATGACCTTAGATGTTCCAAGTCTTGGATCGATACTATTGATCTCTTTGTCCTGCCAAACTTCTCTTGTTGACTTCATATCTATGTAAACATCGGCTAGAGCAAACTGACCCAAAGTCCAGTGTCAATCAATATCATGCTTGCAAGGTTTCTCAGGCATGAGGAAGTTCCCTCTTTAGAAATGGTCTTTTCCTTTCAAAGGATCAGGTGAGAACTTAAATCTTCTATTTTATTCTAAATTATTATGATTTCCCTTTATTATTATTTTATTTTCTCCTAACGGCTGCCACAATTTCCCAAGCTTCCTGAAGGTCAGGAGGAAGGGGGCAGATCTAATCTCATTCGGGAGAGAGTTCCATAGCTGAAAGACCACCACAGAAAAGGCCCTGTCTCTCGTTCCCACCAGACACGATTGCAAAAGTGGTGGGACCGAGAGCAGGGCCCTTCCAGAAGATCTTAACAGCCTTGATGGTCCAGCCTTGATCGGAGTTTAAGATCTTCCGGGGAGGCCCTGCTCTCGGCCCCAGTGGAGCTGGCGCAACAGAGGAGTTGTGTGCTCCCTGTACCCCGCTCCTGTCAGTAGCCTGGCTGCTGGGCGTTGGACTAATTGCAGCTTCCTGGCAGTCTTCAGAGGCAACTCCACGTAGAGAACATTGCAGTAGTCTATACGGGATGTGACCAGAGCGTGGACTACCATGGCCAAGTCAAGCTTCCCAAGGTACGGGCGCAGCTAGCGCACAAGTTTTAACTGTGCAAATGCTCCCCTGGCCACCCGAAACCTGGAGTTCCAGGCTCAGCGATGAGTCCAAGATCACACCCAAGCTGCGAACCTGCGTCTTCAGGGGGAGTGTGACCCCATCCAACACAGGCTGTAACCTCATGCCCTGTTCAGCCTTTCGGCTGACCAGGAGGACATCTGCAGTGGAATACATCTCACTCACATTTGCATGTGTTTGAACTGCTGGGTTGGCAGAAACTGGGGCTATGTCATGTATCATGTTCTGCAGTTGATGGTGGTTGGTGGTGGCAGGCCTAGCAGTTGGTGATGGAAGGGTTAATGTAAGTCTTAGTTCTAAAGGGTTGAGTAATCTGTAAGTAAGAGTTCATGGGTGAAAGCAATTAAGGGTGGAGGTATGCAAGAGATGGGTTGCAGCTGGGTGTTTCTGGATATAAGGACTGATCTTCAGGAGAAAAGTATTTGTCTTATTTTGGTGGTAGATGCTGCTGATTTTCCCCCAAGTCTCTGGATTTTCGGTATCCTGACCTGTCTCCTGAACTCTTGGAACCCTGGAACTTTGAATCTCTGGACTGGCTTTGGACTACGGTATAGACTCTTGATCCCTGGACTTTGCTCATTGAACTCTCAGCATTTGACCACTGGACTGGATCCTTTGACTATGGTGTTGCTTTTGCTATCTGTTTTTGTTTATTATGTGGCTGAGTGCTATCTTTATGTTTTATATTTTGGACTATTAAAACAGCTGGAAAGTAAGTGCTGTTTTAATTAATCTCCTTGATACAAACTGGGTATTTGTTTGGTTCATCTCTACCTGAATACAGCAGAGCCCTGGCGTTGTGACAGTTCTCAACCTGGGAGTTTGGTTCATCTCTGCCTAAAAATTGGCAGAGGACTGGCAGTGTGGCACTACACCCTACATTGCTGGTGAAATTGGAAGGCATAGAACAGGCTGTGCTCTGGCACTGTGAGATGCAGAACCAATCTTAAGAAATGGAGCTACAAGGTGGAGTCCACAACATGTGAGTGCGGAGAAGAGCAAACCACAGACCACCTGACTACAATGCAGCCTGAGCCCTGCCACATGCACAATGGAGGACCTTCTCAGAGTGACACCAGAGGCACCCCAAGTGGCCAGCTTCCTAGTTAAAGGACATTTAGTATAATGCCAAGTTTTTAAATTTGTTTTTTTTGTTTGTTTGTTTGTTTGTTTTTGACTTGTATACTGCTACTCCCAATTTGGCTCGGAGCGGTTTACAGCAGTAGATTAAAACAATACAATTAACTTTAAAATACAATAAACAAGAACAGACATAGTCCCGAGTTATTCACCCATCGAAAGCTTGTCGGAAGAGAAAGGTTTTACAGGCTTTCCGAAAAGCAAGTAGGTCTCGGATGGTTCGGGTTTCAACTGGCAAGGCATTCAATAAATAAGGGGCCACAATCGAGAAGGCTCTCTGCCTAGTAGAGGACAGATGATAAGTCCGGATGTTGGGGACTTCAAGCAAATTTTGGTCTTCGGACCGAAGTAATCTCTGGGGTTGGTAGGGGGATAAGCGGGCCCTCAGGTACGCCGGCCCCAGACTTTGTTCATTCGTTCAGTCGTCTCCGACTCTTCGTGACCTCATGGACCAGCCCACGCCAGAGCTCCCTGTCGGCCGTCACCACCCCCAGCCCCTTCAAGGTCAGTCCAGTCACTTCAAGGATGCCATCCATCCATCTTGCCCTTGGTCGGCCCCTCTTCCTTTTGCCTTCCACTTTCCCCAGCATAATTGTCTTCTCTAGGCTTTGCTATCTCCTCATGATGTGGCCAAAGTACTTCAACTTTGTCTCTAGTATCCTTCCCTTTAATGAGCAGTCGGGCTTTATTTCCTGGAGGATGGACTGGTTGGATCTTCTCGCAGTCCAAGGCACTCTCAGAACTTTCCTCCAACAATGGAGCCTATAAGGACATCTCCTTGAAAGTGATCCGGTACTCAATCGGTAGCCAGTGCAGCTGTTGAAGAATTGGGGTGATACGACACCTCGCTGGCACCCCGGCGAGAAGACGAGCCGTCGCATTTTGCACCAGCTTCAGTTTCCGGATCACTGACAAAGGAAGGCCAATGTAGAGGGCGTTACAGTAGTCAAGTCTCGAGATGACCTCGCCTGGATCACCGTAGCCAGGTCGTTCCTAGATAGGAAGGGAGCCAGTCGCCTAGCCTGACGTAGATG